AAATACCGGTAAAAAAAAAAAAAAAAAAAGACTTTCGCAATCAAGATTCAGGTTCATCAAATTGGCCCAGGTCTTAATCCTGAGCGAGCAATGATATCGCCTCCGTGGAGCATCACGAAACACGCACATATAATTAGGAATTTGCTTTCTGTTGGATTACCGACTGTCAACAAGCCTTCATCTCGGCCCAAGTAGCTAAGTTCAGCGGAAGCATAGAGTAGTAGACGGTAGATTGAACGGAATTCAGTTCCTTGGTGTGGGAATCGTTGGGCTTTGACTGGAAGGTATCCGAGTTACCAATGGGAGCCCAAATCCCTATATGTATTACCGTGCTGCATGTCTCACGGGTTCCCGTGATGCCCGCCGATCTCTGTCAGAGTATGTACAAGAAAGTCTCTTGGAATCCAAGACATGTGTTGATGGATATTAAATAGTTGAATGTAGATGTTTTCTTCTCATTCTCCTCTTTAAGCCCCGGGCTTTTGTTGTCGATTGGTGTGTTTCAGTGTGGGATTCGCAAACCGGATTTCTTCTTCTCCTGAGTGATTCGTGGTTCGGCTCCGTCCGTTTGTAGCGCAGCTGCTACGGGCACTTACTGTGGTAGCAGACGTAAATAAAATACCCCTTGTCATGTACCAGATCTGATGGGGCGCCCACTCGACAACTCCAAAACACGCACAAGGCGTGCACAAGATCTGCATAAGTGGCTCCAAAATACTTACCAGGGACGCTTTACTTACCCATCATACCACAGTATTAGGGGGTCTTGGTGCAAAAGTCAGAGTCTAGGTAGTACATTAAGGTAGCTACAAAGATTTCAACGCCACTAAAACCACCGGAAAGTAGGTGCCATCTAGGTAAGTACCCGATTGGGGGGGAGGGGGCCAATGCAACTCCCTGGCACCGGCCTAAAGCCTCCGCTCGAGCTGGTAAAGTCACATTTGGACAGCGCCAGCGCTACCCGCAGAGCCTTGCTCCTCCATCATCTGATATTTTCTACCATCACGATCCCGACTCGCCAACGAGCCAACACTGATCGAAGCGAGCCCGCGCGGAGATTGCTTGTCCCCTGCATACAACAACACTCCTCCGTGTTTTTTGGTCCTTCCTTCAGCGCTGTCGACGACCAGAACCAGAACATCCCAGCTCCCAATGGATTGCCGCGAACGACATTGACCACCATCTTTTTCATTTGCTCCTCCTCTTTTGGAGCAAGTACCATCTTGCGTAACGGCCTGGTCGTCCTCAGCCTTACCTCTGTTGTCTTGGCTGGCCTCTCGTGCTCTTCGGCTGTTGCTTTGATAGCTCGCAACACAACATTCGGCGATCTCTGATCTTGATTGCTCCGCGCCGAACACGAGTTGTGCAATCATGTCAAGTGAGGCGTCGCCCCGTGCTGTTCGCTTCTCGCCCAGCGAGGTTGAGTTGCTCGACGATAAGCTCATTCATCCGCGGCCTCTCGCCATTGCAACCGACTCAGATCTCTCCAACTCCTCCGGGGACTATACGCCAGACCAAAATGACCTCGCCGAACTCGAGCGACAGGACGAGCTGGGCAACCTGGCTAGATATGCTGATGGTGGATTATCGGGTTCCATGGCTTCGCTAGCCCCCAATTCAGTAGCCAACAGCGCTAACAGGAATCGCGATGCCGTCGCGGTAGCCAACACCAATGGTACGCCTGCGCGCCTCGCTTCCAGACCTTTGCCACTGGCGAGGACTCCCTCGAGTACATATGCGCCGCAAAGAGGACCTGCAGCTCAAACTGTGAGCATCAATACCAGATCGGGGTCTCGTCCCCGCCGCTCCGACGACCCGGAACGACAGTTTCGCAACCAGGAACCTGCCTACCTCCGCATGATACGCCACCAGGAACAGCCGACCAGTGGCTACTTTGGCACAGAACCCTACACCCCAAGCCTTGACTACACCGACGATGAATCCGAAGGGGAGACACCTTCATCCGAGGGTATCTTCGATGATCGATACAATGAGGAAACTATCATGTTCTATAATCCAGACGAGAACGATGTCCAACCCACCGAGGACGACGTGAAAGATCCAGACAACCGTGAAAGGTTGGAATGGCATGGTATGCTGGCGGCCGTCCTAACTGGAGATGTTGTCAGACAGGAGAAGAAGCGTCTTATAGGCTCGTCAGAGAAGGACGGAGGCCTCACCGCCCACAAGGCTGAACTCTGGATTGGCCTGCGCTCAAAGATTTGCGGTCGGTCCCTCGCTGTGCAGCGGCGAATGGTTGAAGAGGCTCGTTCGAATCTTGACAGAGTCATTGACGAGATCACCCGTTTCGAAGTGCAAGGCGAAAGTGAGGCTGGAAAGCCACCGATCGAGCAGATACGCGACGTTGTCAAGAAGATCGAAAAGTGCGAAAGCCTATATCCCTCTTCACAGACTCTCGCTGCTAGCCACAAAAACGCGACTCTACCATCATTTTCTGAGGCATGCAACGCCGTTCTGTCCTGGTACAACACAAACGAGATGATCAATACGGAGCTTGAGATCCTCAAAAAGTGGGTGGGCAACGATGACTTGGACTTTCAAATGAAGAAGCAGAGATCACCGAGCACGAATGGTCTAAGCGATGAGACATCCTTCTTGGACCGATTGATGAAAGAGGATGGTCTCAAGTCTTTGCACGATGATGATGGCGATGAGCACGAGAGACAGAAGACCGCGGCCAAGACCAAGTCTCTCATTCGTCGGAGTATGCTCACGGCAATCTCAACCACCATTGCCAAAGCCAAGGAAACCCTCATTGCTAATTCGGAGGCTTTCAAGAAGCGTCATCTGCCGCCCTACATTGAGGAGATCCTCACTTTGATTAGCTTTCCCTCTCGGCTTATCGAGGAGATTATCAAGGTCAGACTTGCCTACGCCAGGAAGATGAAAGAGACGACTCAGCAGAATATGATACTGCAAGATCAGATGATTGGCCAGTTTGAGATTCTTCTTCGACTTGCTATTCGTATCAAACAGGACTGTTTGACCGTTTTGCAACCACAGCCGGGTTGGCAGCTACCTCCCTGCATAGACGACTCTTTTGACCAGGTCGTGCTTGAAGCCTTGAGATATTATTTCAAGATGCTGAACTGGAAGTTGAGTCGAAACAAGAACACCTTCAAGGAGGCAGAACTGCTGTTCCAGGAGTGGGATTTCGCCAACATGGTTGGCCGGAACCTTCAGGGAGGTGACAATGAGGTTGCTGAGCAGTTTAGTACACTCACGTTCAAAGCCCTCAGTCGTCTCAGTCAGACCTTTGAACGGGAACTTCAACGCAAACCAAGAGAGGCAGCCGATGTCATGAGCAAACGATACAAGCAGGTACTCGAGTCTGTGCGTGTCAGGCAAAGAATGTTGCAGCGGTTTTCACGAATGCTTAGCGACCATTACGAAAACGCTTCTGACATGAGCATTGCATTTGCATCTAATGAATTGCAACATTTTTACGAGCGACTTTCAGTCAGCGGCCACTTTCTGGTCGATGAGGTCGACGGAATACAGATCATCGCTTCTCCGACACTTGTGGGCCGGGACGACGACGTCCAGTCAATCATCCGTACCTGCTTTCACGGATCGCTGCAGGAGCCCGATCCGACCGACCCGTACATCCTTATCTGCAGGCCAGAAACACCTTTGCACTGGTTCGGGAACCGCAGCACGCAGCCCCTGAACATCGATTCGACGGATCTCAAACTTGGCCAAGTGAGACTCGTCGCCGATGGGTCACAATACAGGCTAGCAAACGCGCGAAAGGCTTTCCTGGACACAATCGACATGCATCTTGATTTGATTGTTGAGCAGCGCTCGAACTTGCACAAAGTCAACACCAGATTAATGGAGATTCGCAAAGTCGCATTCAAACTGTCAAACACTTTCATGGACAGTGTTGAGATTATCAGAAGGCAGACAAAAGGCATGAACTGCACCGACCTCATTCAGACGTGTTTCATCTTCGCAACTGAGTTTGGTCAACGGTCGTTGATCAGCATGGATAGCAACCGACGTCAAATGAACAATATGAAGCTCACCAAATTGGCCCTTGATTGGGTGAGCTTCATCTGCGATGATTGTGCTGTCAGTGATCGCAAATCCTTTCGCTGGGCTGTTCCCGCACTCGAGTTCGCCATGGGCATGACAAGAGGACGTCATATTCTGGGGCTGGATCCCTCCGAGTACGCTAGGCTCCGTGCCAAGGTATCAGGCTGCATGAGGCTTCTCATTTCGCATTTTGATATTCTTGGTGCCAAGTCCAATCAAGCAGCACAGACCGAGAAGGAACGTATCGAGGCTCTGGTTGGGCAGTTCAAGAGGCTTGACAAGAATCGCATGCTCGACGATGATGAAGCATTCAAGTACATTCAAGAACAGCGTCTAGAGCGGATTTCCGACATTGACGAGGTTCAGCGACAGACGATCGCCGAGAGGCAAGGACTGGGTCGAGTATTGGAGGTGTCAAACGAAGTCGACCGATCACTCGCGTTCCTATCCTCTTCAGCGACCAACGTCACCATGCGCTGGCAGCAAGGACACTTCGTGGGTGGCGGCACTTTTGGCAATGTGTATGCTGCAATGAACCTTGACACTGGTCACCTAATGGCTGTCAAAGAAATTCGTCTTCAAGACCCCAAACTTGTTCCTCAGATCGCCACTCAAATCAAGGACGAGATGGGTGTCCTCGAGGTACTCGACCATCCAAACGTGGTCTCGTACTACGGTATCGAAGTCCATCGCGATCGCGTCTATATTTTCATGGAGTTCTGCTCAGGCGGCTCCCTTGCGAACCTGCTGGAGCACGGGCGAATTGAAGACGAGCAAGTCACCATGGTCTATGCACTGCAGTTGCTTGAGGGACTGGCATATCTTCACGAAAGTGGCATCGCCCATCGCGATATCAAGCCAGAGAGTAAGTTTGTATCTTTAAATTTTTGTCAGTGCAAAACTAATCAGCAAAATAGATATTCTCCTCGATCATAATGGTGTAATCAAATATGTGGATTTTGGCGCAGCCAAGGTCATTGCTCGACAAGGGCGCACTTTGGTCAAGACCGCAGCGACCACACCCAATCGATCCATGACTGGCACCCCCATGTACATGTCTCCCGAGGTCATCAAGGGCGAGAGTCCCGGCAAAGCTGGGTCTGTCGACGTATGGTCCCTGGGCTGCGTGATCCTAGAGATGGTGACTGGGCGCAGACCATGGTCGAATCTGGATAATGAGTGGGCGATTATGTACAACATTGCCCAAGGCAATCCGCCACAACTTCCTGGTTCCGACCAACTCAGTCCTCAAGGCATCGACTTTTTGCAGAAGTGCTTCATTCGCAATCCCAAAAACCGGGCCAGTGCTGTTGAGCTCCTTCAACATGAATGGATTATGAGTATCCGTAGTCAAGTCATTGAGCCTGCAACGCCAAGCGACAGTTCGGGCTCGGCTCAAAACACGCCTCATCCAAACTCCGCCAGCAGCCGGGCTGCCGCCGAGGGCTTTGCTTAGGGACCTTTTCCCTCGAGCGGTGGCGGGTTGGCTCAAATCTCACCTATTGAAGAAGAGGCAGAGAAGCTTGCGATGGAAATCGAACGGACAGATTCTGGTCGCATCATCACATATAATGATTTAAACAGCATTCCAGGGTCGGATCCAGTGTCAAGGATGGCGACTCCATCCCCTTCTTCCGGGTCTGAAGATGGTATTGACACTGGTCATGAACAAGACGAAGACGGGGTCAATCAAGCTGATCTTTCGTATGGCCACTGCTATAGTGATGAAGACCCACAGGGGATGATCGACAGTATGTGATTGTTGCGATAGCTGGGAGTGATGGATGCTCTCAATAACGCATCAGATTCGATGGGCAGATACACAGCAACGGGGAGGAATTTCGCTTTTTGGGGGGTTCTTATATGTTTGGTTACAAAGGTCAGAAAAGGGCAGTACCTTGGTGCACATGAACGGAACTGCATCAGCGACGGAGTTTTACACTGGGCATGCCTGATGAGATTCATCTTCTTTTTCATGCATATTACAAATATCCCACAGCGGTTTGGGAACATTACACAAAGAGATGTACATATATGAGACTGGCCAGGCTCGTTTGGCAGCATAAGTCACGGCTCGCCATCAGTATAATGATGAACGTATAATGTAATAGATATCATCAACACTCTATCACAAGCAATTCTTTCGACTTCCTGCGTATCAATAATGCTCATGGCTTGCCTGAACCTTGAGAGGGACAGCTATATCTCACTGCCGCCGCCGAGTCTAGCTTCAGTAACTAGAAATAAACATTCACACCCATTATAGTGAGTAGGGGACAATTACAAAATGAGGAGAATGTGTGGAGCGAAAAATTAGCATCTTGTTTTATTGAAGCGGCCAGGCCTATATCATATAACTCCCAAACGCCACGAGTCCCTCAGAAGACTGCCAAGGAATGTAAACACTTGGTCTTTTCTCTAGTCAAGCGAACGGCAAGCGATCACATACACACATTGAAAAAAATCACTGCTCCATCTCGGCATCCTCAGCCTCGTCATCTCCCCAGAGGCCATCTAGCTTGAATTCCTTGGCCCATTCCGTGACAATCTGCTTCTGGTCCGGGGCGGGAGCGTCGGCCGAGGATGTCGCGGCGGCGGCAGCGGCACTGGCAGCGTTGACGCTGACGGGCAGGACGGGGGCGTCCACCCAGCCCTGGATGCGGCCGTCTCGCCAGTCCGTGACGACGGTGGTGGCTGCCGACTCGACGTTGGGAATGCCGCCCTTGCTCAAGCGGCCGCGCTTGCGGGCCACCTGGACGAGGAAGTCGGTGGTGGCGTCGCCACCCGTGGTCATGAGCGGGGGCAGATCATAGACATCCATGAGCTTCTGGAGCAGATCGGGCGAGCTGGAGAGGCGCTTGAGAAGCAGGTTCACAGCCGGCCGGGCGTCACCGATATCCTTGGGCGGAACGGCGTTGAGCAGCACCAGGTTGGCGTGCGCCTCAATGGGGTCCTGCTTCTTCTTACGAGACTCGCCCTCGGTGACGGAGGGGAAGACGACACCGGGAGAGTCCAGCAGCGTGAGCTTGCTGTCCATCTTGACAGAGCGGATACTCGTGGTGACACCGGCCTCGGCGCCAGCAGGACAGGCGGCGCCTTTGCCGCCCAGACGCGAGAGCAGGGCGTTGATGACGGATGACTTGCCGACGTTGGGATAGCCGATGACGCCGACAGAGACGGCGCGCTTGAGCTGCTGCGAGGCCGCGTACGACTTGAGCGACTTGAGGAGCGCGCTGGCGGTGCTCTGAACCGTCAGGGACTTGTGGTTAAAGGTCTGCGCGTTCGGGGCGGATCCCGAAGCACGCAAGGGGATGGTTGGGAAGTATCGACGGAGATGCGTGAGCCAGTCCTTGAGGACGGGTGGCGGAATCAAGTCGACCTTGTTGAGGATCAACATAAGTCGCTTGCCTCCACTCGCTGCGGCCATGACCTGCCGCTCGACCTCTTTTGATCTGGTTCCTTCGGGGTCGCGGGCATCAAGTACGTAGAGCACCACGTCGGCTTGCTCAATGACCTGCTTGAAGACCTTGTCGTAGGCCCTCCTCGAGGTAGCTGGGCCCACGGCCTCACCGCTGCCAGCGTAGAAGTCGTCCTCGTCATCATCGTCTTCATCGTCGTCATCATCCATTTCGCTGCCGCTCTGGAGTTCGCGATCGTACTTTTCGGCGGCCTTTCTTGCGCTGGCGATGAGCGCAGCCATGGGGTTCGAATCGTCGAAGCCATCGTCTTCGTCCATCGCATCGTCGTCAAACCCCTCAAAGTCGCCCGCCTCGGCACCATCCATGGCCGCCTCGTTGTTGCTTTCGTTTGCATTGACGGTGCCCGTCTTGGCCGCCTTGGCCATCTCTCGGCGCTTCTGGGCCTCTTCCTGCTTTCTCCTCCGTCCCTCCTCGATCTCTTCAAGGATCTTCTCCTTGTACGGGAACAGATTGGGGATACCCGGATCCTTCTTTAACTTTGACTTCCATTGTGGGTTCTTCTTGGCTTCCTTTCTCGCCTTGCGCTGCTTGGAACTGGATGCCTTTTCAATCTTGTGCCGAAGACGAACGGTCGTTCGCTTGGACTTTGGCTCTGCAACGGAAAGTCTGGGTCAGGTTTTGTGTCGCCGCATGACATTATGAGATATGGAATGCATCTAGAACTTACTCTTGGGCTTGGTAATACTTCCTGCCATTGTTTGTTGTTTGCGCAGGCTGAAAAGGTTTACGATTTGCAACAACCACGAATTCGCAATGGGACCCGACCGACGTTTCAATTGCTATGGTTCATTCTTTCTGCCCCGCTGAAATATTTTTGGCGGTGGGTGGCGGCAGAATCAGCAGGCGGCGGCGTACCACTGGACGTGGGGTTGTTAAAAATGTGGCGTCGGTCCAGGGTCAAGCTCATGTTGGTTCCTATAATTCCAAGGATTCGAAACCTTGTAAGTCTCCTGCGCACGATAATTTACCCCTCCAGACATGTTGTGAATCACACCTACGAAGAGCCATTATATCAAACTTTATATCACCATAGTTGCGGGCAATGATGAAGCGAGATTTGATCAAGAGGTGTTGCAATGGAGCCAATCTTTCTTTTCCTTCCATGAAAAGGGCAGCAAGCAGCAGCCTTCCCACCTATCGGGCCACGGCTACCGCGCACTGCCGCCCCAGACCTACCTTAGTGTCATCAGCCCCAACTTTTTTTGGACCAGCAGCGATTCCCTTCCCTTCAGACCGACAGACCCTTTGCAGGCGGCTAGGCGCTGTCCAAAGGCAGTCCGACGTGGATCGAATGACTCCGTTCGTATCCATGCGGAGATGCCTGATGGGGCATTGCCCGCTGCCAACCTGAAAATGTCACGAGAAAAGCAGTCAGATTTCCCGTGCGTTCTCGTAGCTTCCGACCGCCGCCATCAGATCAGATAGCGGACTGACTCTCTGAGAACCATATTCTTCTTTGGGCAATACAATCACGCGCACAACAACAACCTTGCCAACTACCTTGCCCCCGACACTCGATTCATAAAGTGACACCTCGCAAGTCCCTGCCGAACCGCCATTGCACTGCATACTATCCTGTCCGTCTCTCCGTTCGTTGATCCATCCACCACACACATCTTGCTCGCGCATATCCTGTAACCCAAGAAAGCCTCAAAGTTGTTTAGATAAACCATGGCGTCGTTCACAGCACCGCCGGAAACGGTCTCCTTCCAGGGTCTCCTGTTTGACATGGACGGCACCATCATTGATTCGACGGCCGCGGTTGAGAAGCATTGGCACACGTAGGGGTTTCTTTGTTTTCCACCTTTTGCACACCCCCGTTCCAGGTCCTCCTCCGTTGTCCACGTGTCCAACACTCCCATCGTACGCATATCCATACTTACACGTTGTTCGTAGTGTCGGTACCGAAATTGGTGTCGACCCTGAGGTCATCTTGCAGACGTCTCACGGCAGACGAAGCATTGACATTCTCAAGATCCTCCACCCAGAGAAAGCCAACTGGGAATGTGAGTCGACTTGCCCCAGCCTTGCCCACATGGTTTGGAGCAGGCCCTCAAAGCCGGCTGCCAGATATAGCATACGCTTACTAACATGCGCCATTAGATGTCTGCCAGATGGAGGGTCTCATGCCCAAGCTGTACGGCCCAGACGCAGTTGAGATCCCCGGCGCTCGAGCCCTCCTTGAGCAACTGATCCCCGCTGGCGCACCCTGGGCCATTGTGACATCGGGCACCGTTCCCCTTGTCACGGGCTGGCTCGACGTCCTGAAGTTGCCGCATCCCGAGCATCTGGTCACTGCCGAGTCGGTGCAGAACGGAAAGCCAGACCCAACTTGCTATCAAATGGGCCGCTCCAAGCTCCAGCTCGAGGAGAGCGCCAATGTCCTGGTCTTTGAGGACAGCCCTGCAGGTATCAAATCTGGCAAGGACGCCGGTTGCAAAGTCATTGGCCTGGTAACCAGCCATACGCTGGAGCAGGTCATTGCCGCCCAGCCAGATTGGATCGTCAAAGACCTAAGTTCGGTCAAAATGTTGGAAGTCAAGAATGGAGTCGTGACGCTGGAAATCACAAACGCACTTACTCCTACCAACAGTTAACCTTTGCTAAAGGATAGAAGGAGAGAAGTGTTTCCAGTCCAAAGTCAATGCCTCTTGGCGCGCGAGGGAGGGAAATTCCACGTTGCCTGGGACACTGTTATTGGAAGCACCATTTCCCAAAACAGTATACATTACGCCGCCCGGGTCGAGAGACACAGCATTCTTAGTCCTGTCATGAAAGAAGCCTGTAGAGATGACTCAGCGCGAATATGCGCCCCCAACGAGGCTCTGGGAGCTGCCAAGCCCAAGCCACAATGCAGTGGGTGGGAAGGCATAGAAGAAATTAGTGCATCATTACAACATGGATGTAGTACTCTCATCACGTAATGTCATGAGAAAGTACGGAATAAATTTTGAGTGTTTGGACGTGTTTGGATTCGGCCAGGTCGTGTTCGTTTGATGATATGATATCAATAATGATATTTCTGAAAGGATTTCTATAAAGTCCTTGTTTGCAATCACAACCTTGTGTGTGTGTACCGTATTTAGTAGTAGCAGTAGTACTCTTGCAATCCTTGAAAGTCTTGTTTTCCTGAGGTCTCCGCAAAAATCCCGGCATTTGGAAGTTGTGATCACCAGCACTATCAGCTCCCGCCCAGATGCCACCCCAAGCGACCCGTCACTCTGGTCACTGTCAACTGAGGGGGAGGAGGGTTTGAGGAGGGTTAAGAAGGAGGGGGAAGGGCCTTTACCATGAGTATTTTCGACATGGATTCTTTTTCCAAAGATCCCGGGAATACACTAGCAATTGGGGATAAGAGGGATGGATGGATGGAGAGGAAGAAAATGGGGAATTTCGTGAGAATGGAAGCTTATTCCACAAAAGTTATTCCCAGTTGGTAGGTAGGCTTTGGGGTACGTAGGAGGAGCACATGTACTTTTGCCTTGTGGAACGGTTTTCTACTCCCCTTGGTTGTTCCCGTCCCGCCTTATGGAGACCCTCCCAAGGAGAAATACCCCACGGTTGGACGAAACGGTGAACCGGTGTACGGAATAGGTAGTTTAGGTATAGCCAAGTGTACCTACGTGCGGTCAAGTTTTCTATCAACTAGTAGTCACATAGGTTTCTGCGTTTACTGTATCGCGCCTTTCGACTAGTTAGTTGCAAGCACCTACTATGTAAGGTCTACCCTTTATTTTTTTTTTCTATTAGTGGCCTTGTGGTATCAACATTTACCATATGCATCAGCACGACAAACACAGTTTATGTTTTCTTTGAAAGTCAGTCGGTCCGTGGGTCTAGCGCTGTCGATCCGAACCCAGATCTGAAAGAAGGGGGTGGAGGGGGGGAGCCCGGTAGCGGTATGTAGGAAAGGTAAGGGGGGGTTAGGTAGGTACCTACCTACACTTGCACTTCTCTTTAAGCCGCCCACGTCCCCGGCAAGAAAACTTCCCAATGAAGGAAATTGTGGAAAGAAGATCAAAAAGAAGAATAGAAGGATACACAAGAAGAGAAGAAGAAAAAGTACGTGTATCCCAAGAACAAGGTACATATTAGCCTTTGCTTCCTTGTCTAGAGGGCGATCAATCCGGTCCCCGACCAATCCGTTTCCTCATGGGCAGGAGGGATAAGGATAAAGATGAGATTTCACGCAGATCATTCTGCCCTTGCTCAAGAGACGACCCTGTATGTTGCACGGTTGGTATGTACAAGCAGGGGGGGCAATGGATTGTTCTTCTCTTGCTGATCTGGCACTCTGGATGGATGGATGACGGTCATGATTTGATAAAGTACCTTTAAAATTCATGTGCAAGTCTGAAAAAGAAGCGGGACTGCGGGAGGGTGGACAATCGTGATTTCACATCTTCTTTCCTGTCTCTGACTCCTTCTCCCAGCTGCTACAGCCTTTCGGTGGAGTTGAGCAGGGATAGGTTAGGCGGTAGGAGACAGTACCGTACTTTTTATCCCCCTCCAGGACACAAGATCTCATGTTCTTGATGTATCATGTGATACGGCGTCGAGTGCCGATCGCGACTACGCGCGATACATATACCTCATAGGGAATACGGTGACTAGTATATACAGTACTTGTTGCAGTGACACACCATACTTTTCCAGGCTACACAGACTTCAGGTGAGCGGGAGGTGGGATCGCTCCGCCGTGTCCTCTCCCGGGGCGCCGCGCCCTCCTCTCTCGTTGCTATATGTGATCGGCCGGTGCATAGCGGAATAAAAAAAAGACATATCGGCAGTGCTAGAGCCCTTCATAGGACTCCTGACATCACATGGCCAAAGCACTCACCGTATTTGGGTCTCTTGAATATCCATCCAATATACACAGTAATCAGCTCCCAAGGGGGGGACCAGGGGTGATGCCCGCACTACGAAACTCTTGTCTGCGGTTGTGTCCGTTCCGATCTTGACAGGAACCCAAGCCCATGGTACGGAGATGGGTCTCCCCCCCTCGTCCCTGAACATTTGTGGCGTTATCCAGGTCATACAGTGCACAGTAATAATACGTATAGTGGTAGTAAGAATAGTAAAATCAGGGTCAAGGCGAATTCATCGTGGAAATTTCCATGCCCCGTGCTGAGGTGGACGAGGTGTCATCCTTGTGTTGCTCATTCAGCGCACTGGGGAACGGGCTTTGAGGCTTTTGCCCTGCGCATGATGCACAGTACATAGATAGATCGGCATGGCGCGCGCCCCGTAGTGTACCGTCCCGGATGGGGGCCCGGGTCAAATTGTACACGCTGTGATCAAGACACTTTACTGCCGCAGTGGGCAGGAGCAAGAGGACAGAAAAGAAGCTGCAATGTACCGTCTTTGGAGCAAGGAAATGAGCACTCGATAGGCAGAAATTTTGGGCAAAATACAAGGCAAGATGGTTTATACTTCTAGATACCATACTGCCGTCGGGGAACACTACAGCAGGGCTGTTGTCTGTGGTGGTTGGCAACATGACGGGTAGTCGCAGGGAAACGTCCATGGGCTAGGTGGCTGATCGACAGTGATCTCATTCTTGGCTCTGCAAGCAGGTCGCCGACCATCTGCTTGTGGCCACCGCAGGTGAATGAGTGCCGACCGGGTGATGATCTGCCCTTGCTTGACCCTTGAATGGCGGCAACGATAACGTCAACGACACCATTGACGTTTTTGTTCAGGTCGCGATCCCCCCCTCCCCCCAAGCCGACGACTGAGGTGAGATTGAGCGCAGTGCCATTATTCAGCCCAGGAGAGTGGAAATCACAACTGGGTAGGCTAGAAGCATCGTTACATACACCCTGCTGCTTCATTAAACGTTGGAGTATAAACAGGAAAGGCCCGCGCTTGGTAGCGTGAACTAGACAACCGGAACATGACCCGCGTAACTGAGTATTCACCTTTAGCAGCAGACCAAAGACAACGAATGGGATTACGCAAATGACCGACACGCTCGTGGCTGGCAGAAAGCACAACCGAAAGGAGAAGCGGGCCTAATGGAAATTCCCAGGTATACGTATACTGTGTATTGTAGGAAGAATGAAAAGATGAAAGTCGGATATCAAAACCCACAAATCTCTTTGGCCAAGACCACGAAGGACTGGAAAAAGAAACGAGTCCTGTCTGCCGGCTGTGAGGACTCCCGAGGAAGAGTGGCCCAAACGGGGATTGAAGGGACCCATCCATCATATCATGATGCGGCCGCAACGAAGCATCTCAAGTTAAGACAGTATCGTACATTGCGCACCTGGTAAAGGATGTCTTCGTGAGCTTTGCTGAATCCTTATGCGTTGCTCTGGGGTAGCATGTTTGTGTAATGCAGACCAACAGCGTATGCCAATCAAGACTGCCATACTGATCTTTCCATTGTGCGCCCAAGATTTACGGGGACACTGCTTACACAAACTGTGCGTAATCATGTTTATTATCGCCGTCCATTCGTGAGTCTAAGACTTCTGTTGTTGAAAACAGAATGAATGCTTAAGTTTCCGATGTGCCGGCAAGAAGCTTCTAGTCACACAAGGTGCCTTGATGACGGTTGAGCGCTCCAAGACAATCGCTGCCAAAAGAGGGAAAAGGCTGAGGGTCGGTTGCGACATTGTGTTTCCATACACTCGGAATCGTCGATCAGCCTACCTGTACCTATGATACCTACCAATATGTCACTGGCTTCTTGCATCTTGGCATCGCTAGAAAATAGTCTACCGTACGGGTTGAATGCGGGAAGCGAGGCAAGGTAGGAGATGAGGTACCTGGAAATGAAGCCAGCTCTACCTCCGAGACCTCTCCGAAAAAAAGAAGAGACGGCCATCAGAAATCGGCCGATCGTCGAAAGCTCGGGACATACACTAGTAGTGTGAACGACCCTTTTTGTGCACAGCTTTGGACATCAGGCGACCCGGCCCCTGGATATCCCCCGAGCCGCACGAAGGTGGGATATGTGCATACTGAATACAATACGGAAGTAGTTGGTAAAAAAGCATCCAGAGGGTAGCATCGCCTGCCGCAATTTCTGGGGTTCTCCTTCTTCATTATGTCGTACCGGCGCACGGCACTTTCATCACGATAGTAGTATTTTCTCTCTGCATGGCGATAGATAATGGTGGTTGTAGCCCAGGAGCTCAACGGCGACAAGATACCTAAAAGGGAGCCTCGTCCTGGATGGATGAGAACAACGTGTGTACCAGGCATGTAAGTGTGTGGGTGCGTAATGTTCAAAGAAGTTACTGTGTAGGTAGCGCACAGCAATGTCGGCTCATGGCTGCGTTCGATTGGCCGGGAGTACAAACAGCCAGATTGACTCCAGTTTAGGAAGCGTCGCTAGCGCCACTGGCCAGAGAGGTACCTGAGTTGTACTTCAGCGGGAAGAAGACGACGACGACTGTAAGCCAATGGCGCCCGTGGATGCAGGGGCACACTGTCACTGGCGCATAGGGAGGTACGCCAGACACGTGGCCGCTTGGACCAGAATGAGGTCTAATCAAAAGCTGAAACCCTGAACTTCCCAGCGATGCGAAGAAGCGAGTCGCAACTGAGCAGCGTGTATTGTGTACACACGCACGCACACACACACACA